GGAAGGGGACGGCACCAGTGGGACGAGGCCCCGTCCCTGTCCCCGTCCCCATCCCCATGGTGGGTGCCAGGCCTGGGGCAAGCGCGCAGGTCAGTGCGCAGTCAGCGAGCAGGCGGCGCCAGCAGGGACGCGCGGACATGCGTGAGCCCTGCGCAGCCACCGCTGCCACCGGGACAGGGACGGGGACGGGGACGGCTACCACGCAGCTGCACCCGTGCACACACACATGCACACGCACCCCTGCACACACATACGTGTATAGCAATGCACACATGCTCATGCACACGTACACATGCACTTATGCGCACATGCTCATGCGCTCATGCATGCACGCAGCCATGCATGTGCACTCATGCACACATGCTCATGCATGCACACATTTGCACACATTTGCACACACACACACACACAACACCTCCCCTCCCTGCAGAAGCCAAGGAGACTGCCCTGCCCCTGACAGCTTGTCTCCCTGATACAAGTGACACCATCACTCCATCTCCACAACAGCCCCAATGCCACCTGCCCCATGGCCACGCTGTCCCCATGGTCCCTGCACTGTCACCCCACTGCCCAAAATCCCCGTGTTCCCCATCACTCCACTGTCCCCATGGTCTCGCTGCCCCCAGGGACCAGCTGGCTGCTGCTCTGTGCCCCTGGGGTGCCAGCCTGGATCAAGACCACGCAGTGTCCCCAAGCCCAACTGAGACCCCCTCTCCGTGTCCCCAGGGTGCTGCCCATTACCCAGCACCCAAGTGGGCCCCCATGTGCAGGGGCACAGCCCTGTGGGGAAGACGACATGAATAATCAATGGAACACAGACGATGCCGGCCACAGCCAGCAGGCACAGGAGGGGACAGCTACTGCGGTACCGGAATGCCCCGTGAGGAGCCCTCACATCCCTCCAATAACCCCGGAATGCCCCACACAGAGCTCCTGCGTCCCTCCAATAGCCCTGGATGCTCCACATGGAGCACCTGCATCCCTCCAATAGCCCTGGATGCTCCACACAGAGCTCCCGCATCCCTCCAATTGCCCTGGATGCCCCACATGGAGCCCCCATAACCCTCCAGTAATCCTGGGATGCCCTGTGCCAAGCTCCCGCATCCCTCCAATAACCCTGGGATGCTTGATGTGTAGCTCCCACATCCCTGCAGTAACACGCTGGGATGCGACAGGGGCAGCGAGCAGACAGCGCCTGTGTCCCTAGCAGCTGCCTTGGCAGCAGGGACAACGGGAACAGCAGGGACAGCGAGGGCAGCAGGGACAGCGGGGGCAGCGGGGCCGGCGGCGCACGTCCCTTCGCGTTATCCTCTCCGCGAGGTCGCGCGGAGTCTCCGCTGCGGCCGTGTCACTCGCCGCTGCGGTGGCCCTGTCCCTCCCGGCCCTGTCGGGGCACTGGGCGCATGCGAGCACGGCGGGGGCGAGGGGGGGGACAGAGAGGCCACAGCGGGTCCCCGCGGCCTGGGCAGGGAGGGGACGCGGCAGGGAGGGGGCGCGGGGGTGGCCGCGGGGCTGGGGGGCCATGTGCATGGGTTGCGCGGGTGCATGGGTGCGGATGCATGGGTGAAGGTGCATGTGTGCATGTGCATTCATCCATGGGTGCGGGGGGTGCATGGATGCAGATGCATGTACCCATGGGTGCAGGTGCATGGGTGCTGGTGCATGCACCCATAGGGACAGATGCATGGATGCGGGTGCATGCCCCCACCGGTGCTTGCAGGCGGGGAGATGCAACAGGGACAGCCAGGCTGCAGGGATGTCCCTGGAGATGCTGTCATGTACCATGTCACTCTGGGACACTGTCCCATGCCGTGTCCCCAGGGACACGATCTTGTCCCCTGTCCCTGCAGACACTGTCCCTTCCCTCTTCGCCAGGACGCTGTCCTGTCCTGCATCTCTGAAGTCAGTCATATCCCCTGTTCCTGGGGACGCTGTCATGTCCCATGTCCCCAGGACACTGCTGTGTCCCTAGGGTCACAGCCACCTGAGCCCTGGGCTCAGCAGTCCCTTAACCACCCGTTTTTGTCCCCAGGTCTTGGGGCAGGACCTTGATGGCGGGGTGGGGCAGGGACCTCCAGCCAGCATGCTATGGGGACAGGAGGTGCTGTGTGTGGGGCAGGGATCCCCATGCAGGTGAGGGACCCGGGGGGCCCGGACGTCCCTATAGTGGGGGAGGGGGGGTCCCCATAGGGTACAAGGTCCCAACCCAGGCCCCCATGGGGCTGTCAGGTCCCCATATGGATGCCCAGAGCCCCCATATTGCTGCACAGTGCCAGTGTTAGGACCCTGTATGGACACAGGAAGGTCCCTGTATGCGTGCCAGGATCTTCGTTGTGTGGGTGCCAAGTCCTGTGCAGATGCCACATCCCTATATGGATGCTGGATCCCTATACGGGTGCTGGGTCCCTGGGCAGGTGCTGGATCCGTACATGGGTGCCATGTCCCTGTGGGGGTGCCATGTCTCTCTATGATGCCGGATCTTGATGCATTGCTGGGCCTTATATGGGTGCCAGGTCCCTATAGGGGTGTCAGCTCCCAGTGAGTGTCTGGGTCCCTATACAATGCTGGATCCCTATGCAGGTTCTGGGACCCTCTATGGGTGCTTGGATCTATAGGCAGGTGCTGGCACCTGGGGGGTGCTGGGTCCCTATACAGTTGCAAGGTCTCCTTTTGGCGCCAAGTCCCTCTGCGGGTGCCATGTCCCATCATGGTTGTTGTGTCCCTATGCAGGGCCAAATCCTCATGCACTGCTGGGTCCCTATATGGGTGCCAGATTCCTAAATGGTTCCGGGTCCCTACAGGGGTGCCAGGTCCATATACAGGAGCTGGGTGCCTATATGAGTTCTGGATCCATATGTGGGTGCCAGGTCCCTCTGCGAATGTCAGCTCCTTATATGCTGTCAGGTAACTATGTAGCAGCATCCCAGTATAGGGATACTGAATCAATTTATGGTGTGAGGCCCTATGTATGTGCCAGGTCCTTACAGAGATTCCAGCTCCCTATACATGTGCCAGGTCCTGGCATCGGTTCCCTCTATGAGTGCTGGATTCATAGCTGGGTGCTGGGTGCCTACACGGTGCCAAGTCCCTCTGTAGGTACCAGGTCCTGTTAGGTGCTATATCCCTATATATTGCCCAGGACCTATATGGGTTCTGAGTCCCTATATGGTGCCACCTCCCTTTGCAGGTGCCAAGGCCCACTGTGTGTGCTGGATACATATACGTATGCCAGGTCCCTTTGTGGGTGGCAGCTCCCTATATGTTGTCAGGTTCCTGTATAGTGCTGGGTCCCTATATTTTGCCAGGGTCCCTCTGTGGGTGCTGGGCCCTTATGTGAATGCCAGGTCCCTATACATTACCAGGTACCACTGTGGGTGCCAGATCCCTGTGCTGGTGCCAGACTCCTACAGGTGTTCTGGCTCCCCGTGCAGTGCTGGGTCCCTGTATGAGTGCTGGATCTCTGTGCATGTGAAGGGTCCCTACAGTGCTGCTGGATGCATATGAGAATGCACCTCATTGCCCCTCCTCATTGCCAGGTCCCTCCCTATATGTTACCATGTGCCTTCATGGGGTATCGGGTTCCTCTGCAGTGCTGGGTCCTATATGGTGTCAGTCCCTATATGTTGTCAGCTCCCTACACAGTACCTATAGGTGTATCAGATCCCTGTGGGGATGCTGGGTCATTGGATTCCTACACAGACCCAGCAACTTACAGGAACCAGTCAACCCTTTAAGGGCCCAGAAATACATAGGGACCAGGCATCATTTAGAGATACAACAATGTATAAGAATCAGCATCTCTGCCGGGTTGGGTCCATATATGTTGCACAGTCCTTGCAGGGGTGCCGGGTTCCTATGTGGTGCCTGATTGGTATATGTTTCCTGGTCCCTAAAGGGGTGCCTGGTCCCTATACTTTGTCATGTCACTATAGGTCATTGGTCCCTAAAGTGGAGTTCCCGGTCCCTTTAAATCCTCGGGTCTCTATAGGGGGTGGCCAGTCCTTATACATCGGTGGGTCCATACGGGGGGTGGTTCCCAGTCCCTATATGTGCTGGGTCCCTATAGGGGGCGCCTATTTCTTGTTTGTGCTGGATCCTCATATGTGCCAGGTCCCTATAGGGGATGCCTGGTCCCTATACATGCCAGATCCCTATATGTCACTGGGGCTCTATAGGGAGTGCCTTGTCCCTACAGGTGCTGGGTTCCTATATGTCACTGGGTCCCTATATAGGGGTTCCCTGTCTCTATACATCCCGGTCCCTACAGGGGATGCCCGCTCCCTGGACGTCGTCGGCCCCCTATACATCCCGGTCCCTATAGGGGGTGCCCGCTCCCCGCGCGTCGCCGCCCCGCGGGGCTGCGCACTCCCCTCCGCGCCAGCAGGGGCCGCTGTGGCGCCGCGGCGCGCCCTAG